CAATGGGTACCGGGGTCCTTTCCCGGGGGTAAAGCCGGCCGGGGCGTGATGCTGACCACTCACCCCCATCTAGTGCCGAGGTCAAGGAAGAGAGGAGCTATACCTCCACTCACCCCAAACGCCTACATGGCGTATAGTGGGACAAACTTTACTTTTTTTTTACGATACGACAAGAAATTAAAGAAACGTGAGAAAAAGCCTACACCAGTTTTATTCCACGCCCAAGCATGCCCTAACACTATACGGACACCAGGCACAGGCATGGCCTACGTAATTTACTAAGAAGGCAAGGAAAATGTGACATGGTTACCCAGTTAGTTTAGTTTCCAAACTCTTGGGGGTTTGCTTTAAGCTGCCACAAGTTGGCGCTTCGGTGTTGTGACCGCGACTTTGCAACTCACAGCATCCGGACGCATTAACCCTTTGAAGCCGAAGATCGTCTGAATATTATTTATGAATTCAGTCCGTACCGCGAAGAAAACACTACACCTCACCATTACGAAAATCAGCTGGTTAACCCTTTGAAGCCGAAGCTCGTCTGAATATTATTTACGAATCCAGACCGTACCGCGAAGAAAACACTTCACTTAACCATTAGAAGTCGAATCAGGCGGTACCACATAAGATTTAACAAAAGAACATCCCGGTCAAAGCCTTAATCTCGCCTCGAAACGAAGCTCTCACGTGGGGCAACAGACGATCTAGGGGCACAACGCAGTGGTGGGAGGTCAGTGTGCGACCTGCGGCCGACGTTTAAAGAAAGTGACGCCAAGACCGCGTCTACGTTAAAGTATGTCTTGAAATCATCTGGACCCCAACTGAACGAAGTGGGAAAACGTCTTGTGACATTTTCACCGGCGACTTTACATTCTGGAAGGCGACGTGACGCCACTCTAAGCCAGTGGTATCGCGAGATACAAAGGTAAACAAAACACGACCGCGGTCGCATAGCAACTACGCGGATTAGTGTAAGAACTGTTATGTGGATATCCCGACGACCGACATGGGCGATGGACGCCTTGTTCCCGCAACGACGGAGGACCGACGTTGAAGACAGCGCCAGTTTCCGGAATGAAATTGAGCGAGAGTCGACTTTTAACCGCGCCGCTGTGTCCTGAGTAATGCGTCAGGTACACGAATACGTCTTAATTTTAAAACAGATGCAATGAAGATACTCTTTAGAGAGAACCCTTCTTGTCCCTTAGTAAAAGCACGCCGATCAGGGAAAAGTCACAACCATATGAACCGCCATTCGAGAAACAGAGTCACGACCTTCCGGACGCACATAATCTTGGCGTCGAAACGCAAGTGCGAACCTAACGAGACCCACGGAATACACACAGATTGTATCTGGAACTGTGGAGTAGCCAGGACGTGCCAGGATAGCGGGGATGAAAGATACAGCGGAGTAACTGGACCCGGAGAGAGAGCATCGGCGGGCGGCCTGAGACGTCGCTCAACACCGGAACATCTGAGTTGTATTTGGATGGCTGACACGGAAACTCGCCGCTTCCAGAACATTGAGTGCGTTTAGGTTCAGGGATGTTTCCATAAACGTTTAGTACAGCAAGACAAAACTGTCACCGAATTGTTACGCCAAACATTCTTCCAGCCGAAGATTTCTGTCTTCTGGGTTCTTGCGCTGTGTAGTCTG